CAAGCCGTGACGAATAAGTTGTGTGTTGATGGATGACTAAAAAGAGCCAGTGCTTACTCAGACGAGTTTGGAGACATCAATCAAAAACTTAGCTTGTAACGCTTACCGCTGTTTGAATTGGGGCCATAACTTCCGGAAAACGTCAAAGGTCATCAAAACGTCGGTAGCACAATAGGTTGCCAATTCCTGTACAACATATTAAAAAATATAATTTACTATAATCACCCACACCTGTAATCGAAAGTAAACGATAAGAGTAGTTTAAAAAAACTGGTAACTGGATGCGGAGGCAGAAGATTAATGAAGAAGTTAGTCCTTGTTTAGTGCATAATGAGCATACGCAACAAAAATGTTTCATTCAAAACCTACCTGAAAATTGTTAGCCACATCTTCTATTGTACCCTTCTCAAAGACTGCACGCTTGTCTTTATTTTGCGGCGGATCCTTTTTACAGTAAAACTTATATACATCTACCAGACCATTAAGGCTTGTCTCTGTGATCCATTTAAGTTCCTAAAAAAGAAAAAATCAAGTATGCTCGAATTGAAATATTTTCAAACTTGTGGTAAGAAACTAATAATGCAAAATCGGCACCTTCAAAAGTAGTCGAAAGCTCACATAGAGGAATATGGCCTAAAAAACATTCAAGAAACCTACGTTAGTGCTGCCCTTAGGGCAGTTTCTGTTATCCAATTCACGTGCAAATCAATTAGCCCTCTCTTGAGGTACGTGGAAAATTTTAAACTTCGGGCACATTTAAAATGTTAAATATTGTTTAGAAAATGATTCTAAACAAATGGTTTACGCAGCGCCGAAAGTCATGTAAGAATTTTCGACGGTGGCAAGGCGAGTTTTCACAAAAGCACGGTACTAGGAAAATACCTGACCTTTTCTTTTAATGGGAGAGCAAGGCCGTCAAATTTAGCAAAGGCGAATTTGTTGGGGAGGTTGGGGTTAAAACAAACTTGCTTTTCGGTAAACAATGTAACAACTACTAAAAACGTCAGACTTACATTTGACATGCCATTTCCATTTGTAGGCAAATATTGGCCGCTTGATGATGACCCCGGAAAAAAGGATTTCCAGAGCTTGTTATTATACAGGTGCTTGTCTGAGGCTAGTTTCAAATTACGTTGTGTAGTTGTGAGGCCAGAAACACTTATGTGCATCGACATAGTATCTAGAAAACGCAGACCCGTGAGCTAAATTAAGTATTAAATAATAACTCTTTTCGGTTTACCTGAGGCAAATATTCATCACTGACACGGGCTCTGTCGTAACTTATAAAGTGCCCTATAATCAGTCTAGGCGAAGTACTTTCAACTTCACCAGAGTATAATGGTATAAGCTGGGGCAGTTCACATTGTCTTCCATTTACGAGTTCTTTGCCAAACAAACGGTCGGAGAGCCAGAGATAACTTAGAAGAAGAGTAACCGAGAAAGTGTAAGTACCAAGCATTTGGTGACATGGCCACAGCAAGTATGGGCGCATTGCTCTCCTGAACTAGGACTTCAACATCAAAAAACAGTAAGTCTTCAAGTGGACAGCGTACACGGGTCGCTTGGGCATCCTGATATCTTGTCCATCCTGGATTAAGTTCCCAACGTGACGGTAGCGAGGGTAACTGAGTTGGAGCTGTGTCAATCAATTTTACATAGGGTGCAGTGAGTTCTTGTGCAATTTTTTCAAAATGCTCTGCGACATTTTCTCCAAGAAGATCAGGGAGTAAAAGGTTAACGGAGAACTCTGAAGAAGGCTTTTCATTGGCATTGATACCATGAGATGCCAAAGCCTTCAAAGTGGGTAACGATTTGTCATATTTCATAATCCGCTTTCCAAAGATACGGTCTTGTAAGGATCGATCAATCATTTGAATGTTGACTTCGTTGTACACAGGGCAACTAAATCTTGCTTTGGACAAAAGATCGTGGGCCGGTAAGGAAAGAAATTTTTGAAAGCTGCGCATAGTTTTAAATGGCATCCCTGTAGAAGGCCGAGAGGTCCACGGTTTTAAATTGTTCCGTCAAGAATTCCTTCAAAAAATATATTAGCATTAAACTCTTTTAGCTAGAGCAGGAAAGAGGAAAATGCAGTTGCAACGTTGGAATAAGAGTTGAAAAAGAATATTCATTTAGCACGAATTAATACATTAATAGGACTTCACATCTACTGAAAAGACGACGCTGCGACTCAATGAGGATGTGGTCTTAACTTTTCTTTAAGTCCCATAGAACGACGCTAAAACCTTGTAATGGCGAGATTATTTCCACACCCAAAAACGAATTTCATTGGACTTAGTTGAGAATGCAGCCATTTTTTCTCTCGTATTTCTGGCTTCGTTCTTAATTGGTAAAGTCGACTCATGTTTGAAGACGAATCTAATTAATACATCTAAATAAGTTTATTTAAGGTACTCGGGAACATTTTACGGCATTTTTAGTGGAAATGAAAAATAAAATAGATACGAGAGTTTTATCGTCATAACAAAAATTTTCAGTCTCATCGGTGAAAACGATGGAATGATTGGGCAAAGCCTCGAACACAAAAAGGCCCAACGTGAACTCAGGTGAAATACAACCTTCACAGTCGACAAACCCAGAGACCTTGTTTGGATGATAAGTAAGACATTTAAATCTTTAAAAGACATCATTAACTATAGTCTATGCTTTCTAGTCCGCG